TTTATATTTATTTATGTGTATATATGTATGCACATATATGATTATGTTTATATAGGCATGCATATGTTTACACATGCATGCAAATGCACATGTGTGCACACATGTATTGTACATGCTTGTGTACATATATCTGTGTTTATATACCTCTGTATATGTTTTCATATATGTATATATGTGTATTTGTGTGTATATGTGTGTATATGTGTTTGGGTGTGTATTAATGTGTTAAATATTTTCAGGCAGTGTTTTATTGCTGGAGTCAGTGCTTCCTTCGTCTGATGTTTTATTATGTCTTAGCTAGGATGGCTGTTAGAACTCGGGAGAAAAAGAACTCATAAGGAAGCATAGCTAAGGGATGCTGGGCTTACTACATAGGCGATGCAACGATCTGTGCAGCAAACCATCGTGCTGCACACGTTTACCCACGTAACAAGCCTGCACGTCCTGCACATGTATCCTGAACTTAAAACAAAAGTTGGAAAAATAAAAATAAAGAATTGATATCAGTGATAATGGTAGTGATGTTGGTTATATCTGTGTTAGCTCATGTACCTACTTTAAAATTAAACACTGTGCAAAACTGCTCTGTGCAACGTGAAGTGTTACATGCTGAGAACAGAGGCATGAGCCACGGATGAGTACAAAACTGTCCGTGAGACTCCCCTCTGATCTTTCTCTTGTCCTAATGCCTTTCACAAACCACTGGCTGCCAAGCACACTTAGGCACATCAGTAAAATGAAAGAAGAAAAAATATGATAAAATATAATAACGGAAAATTAGGTTACCAAAAAAAAATAACAGTTTTATCCAACCAAAAATGGGCCAAAAACTATAACAGTCACCTCACAAAAGAAGATATATGGATGGCGAATGAAGATAAGAAAAGATGCTTTACATCATATGTCATCAGAGAAATGCAAATTAAAACAGCAAAGAGATCTACTACACACCTGTTAGAATGGCCAAATTCCAGAACACTGACAGCACCAAGTCCTGGGGAGCAGGTAGAGCAGCATATCCTCTCGTCATTAATGTTAATGCAAAATGGTACACACTATTCGGAAGAGAGTTTGGGGCCTCTTAAAAACTAAGCCTGCTCTTACTATTCAATCCAGCAATCATGCTCTTTGGTATTTACCCAAAGAAAGCTAAAAACTAATCTCCACATAAAAACCTGCACGTGGATGTTTACAGCAGCTTTATTCATAATTGCCGATAGTCAGAATCAATCAAGATGCCATTTAGTGGGGGAATGGATAAATAAACTGTGGGATAGCCAGACCAAGCCATAGTAATCAGTGCTGAAAAGAGATGAGCTATTAAACCGTGAAAATACGTGGAAGAGCCTTAGAAACACACCCTTAAGTAAAGGAAGTCAGTCTGAAAAGGTGGCTACATACCATATGACTTTAATTATATGACGTTCTGGAGAAGGTAAAACTGTGAAGATGGTAAAAATGTTAGTGATTTCCAGGAATTCAGGGTGGGAGGGATGAATAAGCAGAAAGTAGGTAATTTTAGGGCAGTAAAACTACTAAGCGTGACACTACATGAAGGGATGTAATTTTAAATTTGTTCAAACCCATAGAATGTGCAACACCAAGAGTGAACTATAACGTAAACTGTGGACGCTGGGTGATAATGATAGGTCAATGTAGGTTCCTCAACTCTGACAAATCAACCACGCTGGCAGGGGATATTGGAAATGGATTAACCTGTGCATGTGTTGGGGGTATGGGGCATATAAAAATCTGTGTACCTTCCTCTCAAATGTTCTATGAACCTAAAACTACTCAAAAAATATATTAAATAATCAACTCACATCATTATTTATGATTACTCCGTTTTATCGATTCATTTAACTTTGCATTAGCTGCTTGCATTAGCAACCATCTAACTTGCTTTTATTTATTTATTTAGAGTTTCTGAATCTCATCTCCTTTGATGAGGCAGAAGAATGTTAACTGTAATGACAATTCAGGATTTGACAGACAAAAATTGTAGAAATCAAAGTGTAGAATCACAAGGTCCTTGTTCATGATTTCCACAAGTGCTTCGCTTGGATTTACATTTTTTAAGCAAAAATAAATGCATTACTTCTTTTTTCCTTACTGTTCCAGTAGAGAGTGCTTGCATGTCTTATTAAAACTTGTCAAACTAGTGCAAAAAAGAAGATGGACACAGAAAAATCATGCCATATAAATATGTACCCAACAGCAGTTTTATTAAAAAAAAAAAAAAAGCTATCATTAAGGAAGGAAGAAAAGCATAAATTACAAAAACAAAGTCACAATTTAACTGATATAAATTGCAGCCACCTGTTTTTCTCATTTCCAGGAAAAAGGATTTTATGTGTGCAATAAAGTCATTGTTTTGGGAGAAAGGAACGTTGTCTGCAGTCTTCGTTACTTAAGTATTATTTAAATTTCCTAGTCTGGACTACCTAGCTCATGTCACCAGCTCATCAGCAAGTGGACATCTATGGCTACCATAAAAGAAGAACCACGCACTCCCCAGAATTAGAGGATCTGGAAATCCACTGTTGCGTTCGATAAGATATGTTGAAAGGTCTTGGATTGGCCTGTGAAAAATCACACAATGGCGTATAAAGCTGAGTTAGAGACAGAACATACTACCGTGAATTACAAAGGTTTCCTTCAGATAAAGAGGGAATAGCAAGCCATATTGTAGGTCATGCTGTAAGTGTATATTATCTTAGTTTATTTGGGCTGCTATGACAAAATGCCATACATTGGTAGTTTATAAATAGAAATGCATTTCTCAAAGCTCTGGGGGCTGGGAAGTCCAAGAGAGAAATGACAGCAGATTTGCCGTCTGGTGAGGGCTCACTTCCTGGCTTATAGATGGCACCGTCTTACTGTGTCCTCACATGGTGGAGGGGGTAAGGCAACTCCCTGGGGCCTCTTTTATAAGGACACTAATCCCATTCATTAGTGTTCCACCCTCATAATCCAGTCACTTCCCAAAGGCCCCATCTCTTCATTTCCTCGCTTTGGTGAGGTTGAGGGTTAAGATTTCAGCATATGAATGTTGGGATGACTTAAGTATTCAAAATATAGCAATGTCCATCTTATAAACTTAGGCCCAGATCTCATCAGGAGTAAACCAGAGGAACATCAGCTGGTTTCTTTTTATTTCCTATTTCCCCAGGTGACCTTCTGTGTAAAGTTGACCTTTTCACATGTATGACATCATTTTGGAAATATTATTTTAATTCACACATATTAAAGAGTTTAAGACAACTATTTCTTTTAAAAAACTAGATATTCAATTACATATAGTTTTACTAATGTATGAGAAATTTTACTCATCACTTTTTTCCTTTGAGAGGTACAATTTTTATCATTTTAATTTTAGTTTCTATTTTCTAAACCTTTTTCTAATTTTCACATTTCAGTAAAAAGTGTTATGTAATTAAAATCCTTTTAAACAAAGTAATATTATGTGTTTCAGAAGAAAGACTTCATTAACTTGAAGAAAGAAGCTACAGATTTCACCAATAATAGATACTGAATTACTTCATTTTTAAAAACAGAAAGTAACTGAATTACAAAATATTTGTGATTAAATGTTGAATTAAAATAAAGCAAACTTCAGTATGTTGATATACATTTTTTTCCTGCTTATCATAAATTGGATTTTGGAAAACATTGATTTTTTGTGACAGTATTTTGGAATTCAATCTATGTGTATGACAGTGGTACTGATCACTTTGTAAATAAATCATTCTATATCTTTTTATGTATTTTGTCAAAGTTAGTTTTTAAATATTTCAGTAAAATAACTTAACAAATAGAGCACCAAAGTCTTCAACTTTTGAGACTTTCCCAAATTGTGATAATTAAAATTAGAACATACAAACAGGAAGATGTTAACATTCTTCCCTTCAAAAATAAGAAAGAAAACTAAGAGAGATTAAATGGAATCAATGAATTAACTTGGAAATTCTATCATCGTTTTGAACTACTCCATCTTCTTTTCGGCCTAAGGTTTAATTGACCAAAATGTATATATATTTATGATATACAGTGTGACATTTTGACATATGTATACAATATTTAATGACTAAATTGATCTAATTAACATGAAAAATTGCAATGACATATTCACTTATCTTTTTTTTTTTTTTTTTTTTTGCCATTCATTTGGGTTGAAATGATTGTTTTCCTTGTTACAATTAGTTCCCAGCAGTTTATATTCACCTTGGCTGGGGCTCATAACTCACATTTTAAATTCCTCTCAAAGCACTAAAAGCATCTGGCTTTGCCTTGAGCACAGAGTTGAAAAGAGCACTGCTCGTGAGGGGATGACAATATGTCACCCAAAATACTCCACTTTGCCTGGTGGGATACTTTGAGCTGAAGCCTACTGAGAACCAGCAGATGCAGGAACAACACTCTATGCTCTCCCTTTCTGCCTAAAAGTAGAGTATATATATATATATATATATATATATATATATATATATATATATATATTTTTTTTTTTTTTGTAAAGGTGACATTACTTTCCATTTACAGAGAGGTCTCCCTCTCCTGTACCAGGAGGAGGAGAAGGAGTCACACCCGCATCACAACACTTACCGAACAATCCTATCTACCACACATTTCCTAGTCACCTTCCCACAGTTCACCCACCCTGAGTGCCCCCACCCCTTTTCCTTTCTGCAGTCACGTCTCCACAACGTGTCGCCCTTTCTTAAAGGGGTATATAAGCCCTTGGGTCTAACTGCCATTTTTTTGGGTCTTCACTTCTTCCTCACAAAGCCTCTGGACACATACAATTACGAACATCAATAAGGAAACCCAAGCATTTTCTCCTGTTAATCTGCCATTTGTCAAATTAATTAACAGGCCCCAGACACAGGACTAAGATGGCAGAGAGAAAGTTATTGTTTTTCAGTCCTCTCCGACCCCTCCACAACTCTCAGAAACTAGCAACGCGAAAAGGCATGTAAACTAAAAATAATTTTTTTAACCTCTCAGAAAGCAGGGGTTGCTAAGTAGGTAAATATTCTGAACTCCATTCAGGTCCAGCTCTTCAACTGAGAAGGACGGATCCCGTGGACTGCCCCAACCATGGCAGAGCCTTGGAGGAAAGGATTCTGGCCATAGAACCAGGTCAAATGCCAACCTTCTAACCATTCATTAAAGACTGGGAGTAGACTAGTATGAGGTCACAAAACCTCTTGCCACTGCCCAGCGGATTCACCTTGCCTGCTGCCTAGACAGAGCTAATTTATCCAGACAGAGCTAATTTATCAGGACAGAGAAATTGCAATGGAGGCAGAGTAATTCACCCAGAGCCAGCTGTGTGGGAGGCCGGGGTTCAGGCACTTGCAGAATCTTTTCTTACAGACCTTCCACTTCATGTTATGAGAAAGGTTGAGGGCAAGAGGTGAAATGGAGAAAGACTCCCTTGGTCAGGAAGGAGGTAAGTGATGGTGGGAGATGCAGCAGGAAAGGCATGAAGCTGTACACCTGATCCTCCACCCCACCCCTTGTAACATAGAAAGCAAATGCCTTTCACCCTGAAAAAAGAGCAGCCAACTCTGCCATTCCCAGCATACAGGTAAAGGCCTCTTGTTGCTTCAGGACAAAGGAAAGAAGAAAATACCTGTCTACCCATAGACAGATGCTGATCACAGTCTTGGGATCAGGACTCTCTTCTAGTACCATTACTAGTCTCCCTCCAGGCGGAAGGAGCTCTCAACTCTTCTGCAACACCCGTTGTTAACAGGCAGGTGTAGATTCTAGAGAGAGAGGCAGGAAAGCTGAGAAAGTCCCAGCACGAATATTCAGGCCCACCAGGCTCACCTAGGACTGAGGCTGAACCAGAACAAAAGAGAAAACTCAACCACACCCCCACCTCACCAGTTCAGCAAACATCCAGTAACAAACAGCAATGAGCAATGGAGAGATGGCTCAGAACTGAAGACGGATCGCAAACACTGAAGACATACTTCGGATGCCATAAGCACATGGCACCTTTATGAGTGTGAAGCACGTGGCTCACAGATGGTAACCATAGCAACAACAAAACCCAGCTCAGTGCAAGTCTGTCCGCATTGACCCATGTCCCATCCTAGTGCCCTAAAAGAGGATGTGAGCTCCTACTCCCACTTACGTGCCATTTATCTCAGTCTCTCAATAGCCACATGTGATGTGCAGATTCCAAGAACAAATTAGAAAACATGAAATTTTTAAAAATTGACAGGAAACAACTTGGTCCAGAATCAAAAAGCAGAATTGGACTCAGAAATGACATGAATTTACACCAGCCTCTGAAACACACCACCACCCCACTCCACCTCTTACCCTAGAACTTTTTCCCATCACACATAAAATCCATTTGACTTATTTGTCTCTCCTTCTTCTCTAAAACAGCAGCTCCATCGGATAGAGACGTTGTCTCTCTTGCTCACTATGCCTTGAGTGTTACCTAGTACACAGGGGTGGTGCAAGCCATTTTTGTGGAATATGCGGATGTATTGGCTTTGTTCTTCTCCAACTCCCGGAGCAAGTGAGAAGACTTAAGACCTAAGAATGTGAGTGAAAGTGTTTTTGTTCAAAAATCTTTATGGTAAGTACCTTGAAAAGTGAAAAATGGGCTTTAATTTTCATAAAACTGGAACTCCCAAATTTCTTTGTCTGTCTATTCTTCTCTCTCCAGGCTTATCTTTCTTTATACTCCCCCTTTCTGGTTCTATATGACACATGTTTTAAGAAGAGAGCACAGGGACCATTAGCTCGCTATTCCTGCTGTGTAACTAGAACCATTCTACCAAGATGTCTCCTAAGAGAGTTCAGATTGGATTCTCAGCTTCTCTGACCCATGCTAATTCTGAAAAATAGTTCCATTCTCTTATATTTCATTTTTTCTCTTCTATCGTATTTTTCTTTATTAATCAATCATAATATGGAAAATAAAATATTAAGTTATTAATTATTCTGTTTTTGAATAGTTTTATGTTCATTGTTTTTAATTATAAAGGTAGATGAGTCAAATCTGTTATATTTATCTAGAAATATAATTCTAAATTAATTTAACTTTATTTTATTTAGGAAGCTTATAACATTCCTATTAATGAATATTAGGCTATGTGAGGAATATTTCCCATCACTTCAAAAATTATTTCTTCCAGGTACTTTCCTGCAAAAATTCCACTTACTGTTGTCTTTAAACCAAGTGACTTAAGAAGAACTTTACACCTGTAATCCCAGCACTTTGGGAGGCCGAGGCAGGTGGACTACAAGGTCAGGAGTTTGAGACCAGCCTGACCAATATGGTAAAACCCTGTCTCTACTAAAATACAAAAAAAAATTAGCCATGTGTGGTGGTGTCTGCCCATTCCAGCTACACAGGAGGCTGAGGCAGAAGAATCGCTTGAGCCCAGGTGACAGAGGTTGCAGTGAGCCAAGATTGTGCCACTGCACTCCAGCCTGAGCAACAGAGTGAGACTCCATCTCAAAAAAATTTTTATATGAACTCTGATCAGATTGACTCAAAGCTCCACAGAAACTCAAAGCTCCACAGCAGGATTTATTTCTTCTTTTTTTTTTTTTTTTGAGAAGGAGTTTCGCTCTTGTTACCCAGGCTGGAGTGCAATGGCGCGATCTCGGCTCACAGCAACCTCCGCCTCCTGGGTTCAGGCAATTCTCCTGCCTCAGCCTCCTGAGTAGCTGGGATTACAGGCACGCGCCACCGTGCCCAGCTAATTGTTTTGTAATTTTTAGTAGAGACGGGGTTTCACCATGTTGACCAGGATGGTCTCGATCTGCCTACCTCGTGATCCACCCGCCTCGGCCTCCCAAAGTGCTGGAATTACAGGCTCGAGTTCTTTTTTTTTAAAAAAAAAACAAAAACAATATTTTTAGCAGCTGGCAGACATTAGGAGCCCATCAAATACCTATCTACTATTAAATCGATACAGTTTAGCTTCATCGAACGACATACTCGAGGAGCATGTCACATTTCCAATATGGACATTATTAGTGAAATTTGCAACTATGCAACCGTGCAAATGGCCAGCAGGAATTCAACAACGAGCCTAGAGATCAAGTAACACAGAGCTCTGCAGTGCAGTCGCTGCCAAAGCATAACAACATTTAAAAAGCAATTTCAATAATTCGGGAATGGAATTAGAATGTCTTTTACATTATTAAAATTAAGAATGCTACAAACCAAAGTGATTCTAAGATCCATAAGTTCTAATTAACACTTTCCTATTCCAAGTTATCTTATACGAACAGCCAATTTTCCTTGGTATTTCTTTTAGCTCATAAGAAGGTTGATCAAATAAGACATAAGTGATCAGTCTGATGCTTGAGTTCCTTCCTACTCTTTCTGAACTGCAGAGGAAATGGTGTGGTGATTTGGCTCTAGACTCTGCACACAAACACAACTGGGTCTGAGGCACAATTAATCAGGGGTGTGCTTTGAACGCTCTGTGGCTCATTATTTTAATCTGTAACATTAGGCTCTTTAAGGTTATCTTCCTGCTGTGTGGTTGTCGGGAGGAAGTGACATATTTAAAGCACTTAGCATGATGTCTGCCTCCTATTAATGATGCAACGTCTGGAATCACAAATGTTGAGGGTGATATACTGAAAGAAACCAATGGCAATTTCCACCTGTACTTTTCCAGTGAATTCCTTTTCAATGAATAGTACAAATATTTCTGACGGAATAAAGAGGCACGCAGTGAGAAAGTAACTTTCCTTCCATCTCCATCTCTCAGCCTCCCAGTTTTCTTCTTCCTTTTATCTCAGTTAAGTTTGTAACTGAGTATGCCCCATTTTTTCTAACAGATTATTTAAATATGTTTTATCTTTCTTCTTTTCTTGTTGTCCCAGTTCCCCACTTTCTACTTACCCCTTTAGAAATGCAAATATAACTTTTTTTTTTTTTGAGATGGTCTCAGTCTATCACCCAGACTGAAGTGTAGTGTTAGAATCTCACTCGTGAGATTAGAATTCACAGTGAGTAGAAACTCACTGCAGCCTTGATCTCCTGGGCTCAAGCCATCCTGCTGCTTCAGCTTCCTGAGTAGCCGGGACCACAAGCCTGCACTACCAGGCCCAGCTAATTTGTGTGTTTTTTGTAGAGATGGGGTCTTGCTGTGTTCCCCAGGCTTGTCTCCAACTCCTGGGCCCAAGCAATCTGCTTGCCTCAGCCTCCAGAAGTGCTGGGAATACAGCTCTGAGTCATCACACTAGCCAAATACAGCCTTTTATGCCCGCCTCCACCGCCTTCACCAGACACTGCCTACAGGGCCAGTTCATCTAACTCCTTAAAAATTAGACGAATTTATTAAATTAACATGTACGTTAGCAACCATGTTAACTTAAGGCACTGCACTGGAGCTGACATCCAGACCCCCTGACTTTGCTTGCTTCCTCCTCTGCAAAACCTTTTAAAATTGCCCATTTACTGCTGCAAAAGCGAAGCAGCACATTTAAAGGCAGGACATCTGTGTCTCTTCCCCTAAGCTGGCCCAGAATAAGTGACTTTCTTTAAACCACATCTTGCTCTTGTTAATTGGACTCCATGTGGTGAGTAACTAACCCACTATTTGGTTATGAGTTCTCTGTGTGTGTGTGTGTGTGCATGGAACGCATGTATCATTTTAGCAACATCGTGTAGATAAACACCTGTATTTACATATACATCTCACCTATGTTTCTAATTCTTTAATTCTGTAAGAGTAAATCTTGGCCAGACATGGTGGCTCACTCCTGTAATCCCAGCACTTTAGGAGGCCGAGGTGGGGGCGGATTACCTGAGATCAGGAGTTCAAGACCAGCCTGGCCAACATGGTAAAACCCCATCTCTACAAAAAATACATAAAAATTCATGGGGCATGATGGTGGGCACCTGTAATCCCAGCTACTAGAGAGGCTGAGGCAGGAGAATTGCTTAAACTCAGGAGGAAGAGATTGCAATGAGCTGAGATTGTGTGATTGCACTCCAGCCTAGGCAAGAGAGTGAGACTCCATCTCAAAAAACAAAAAACAAAACAAAAAAACAGCAAGTCTTACATATTGTTCTATATCAACACATGAGAAGGTCTGCTCATCACATTTTCCTTTATGTTAAAGGAAATACCATTTCCCCCTTGACACTGCTGTTCCTGGTAAT